AGTGTGAAAAGGAAGACTTGATAGGTGAGACTCCACTGGAGCTGGGCCTGGTCAGGAGGGCAGCAGCAGCTAGGGGGACTTTGGACCAGAGAAAGGCAAGATGCAATGCTCAAAAATGAGAGAGCTTTAGGAGCTGAGGACAAAAAAGGATGGGCATACACTGGGCTGGAGGAGGAGTTTATAGAAGACTTATGAGAGGTGAATTAGCACTATAGGATGTAAGGCCTTGGATGCCAGACCAAGAATTTATATTAAGGGGCTTCTGAAACAGAAAGATGTGACCTGAGCTAGGCCTTGGGCCTGGAAATGGCAAAAATGAGAGAAAGGCCAGACCTGTCAGGAGGCTCTTTGTACTTCCCACTGAGAAGAGCAACAGTCAGGGGAAAGAGGTTTCTGGATGAATAAACTGGGCTCAGAATCTCAGCACTAAGGACCCACCCTCTACTTGCACCACAAATCTTCCCAAAGCCTTGCTGGGCACTTGCAGCTCTGCCTGAGGTTCCTGGCTCCCCTGTAGCTAGCGACAAGGTGACATCTCAGTGTACCTTTGGTTCAGTCTCACTTGCCCACCCTCACCTGGAAAGAAGGTGGTGCCAACTGGACCTCTGGGGGCCTCTAGTTCCTTTTGCCTTCATAGAAGAACTCCAGAGCAGCTGTTTGATTTTGGGTCACCTCGTGATTCATTTGCATATCACATTTCCCTGCTTCCCAGAGGAAAAGCAAGCCTGTATACCACCAAAAAAGTTACTGGTATGTGCCAACTAGAGCTAGATGACTATTCTCACACTGGAGGGTCACCTGCAAGAGGAAGGTCAGGTGCTTTGGCAATGCTGGGGGTTCCCAACGGTTCCAAAGAGGAGCAGACACCTCAAGGGAGTGGGTCTGACAGCAGGAAGGCTGGCTAGTGTCCCCGACTCTTCGAACCTCCCAGCCCTGCCTCCTGCTCCATCAGAGGCTGCTGGGGACAATCATGCCTAAGGGGCCATCCAGGGGCACTTAAGGATGAACACAGAATGAACTGGGCCTTGGGCAGTTTCTTTAAAATCAAAGAACCCTCCCTTCTCCTCTTCATAATTATAGTTCTCCCACTTCTATGACCAGGTACCAAAGATTCAAAGTTGAAAGAAAACCCAATGAACAGAGAGAGAGCACTTTCTCCCTTCTCTGACTCCTTCGAGGTGCTTAGTGGAAAGAGATCAAGGCCACTGCAACCCCAAAGGGCCCAGACCCTTCAGAGTCTAATGAACACATTAGGCTAGGAAAATCTCTTCCTCTACCTCTGGTGGTCTCTCAGCTAAGAGCTCTGGGGCCTGCTCTTCCCTTTGCCTGGAGACCTGTTCTCACCTGGCCCCACGGAGGCTGAGGAACTCCTGCTCTTTCAGGAAGGTATCACCTCTTCTGTGAAGTGAAGCATTCCATTACTCTACTAGCACGCTCCCCTCCTCCGTTGTTTCCATGTCGTGTATTTAGCCTATCACTGCATATTGCACCCTCTGCTGTTTTGCTTTATTTATGGTCTGGTGTGATGTCATGTGAGCCTTCCTCTGCTCTGGGTCCCTAGTGGGTAGCCTAGTGTCTGCCTCATTGAGCAGGAACTCAGCAAGCATTGGTGCAACAGAGCCACGAAGCACAGTCCTAGATTTCCCAAGCCAATTCCAGGCCACTTGGGGATGCTTTACCCTTCCTCACCACCCCTTATCAGTTACCCTTAGCCTCCAACAGCTCTCTACCCCAACCTGAGTTTGGAACTGGATATCAGTCAGTCACACCTAGAGACGTCTTTCCTGAAAAGGTCCTCAGACTAGCAGCCTATAGAGGTCCCGCAAGTTCTCAGTGAACTTTGCACTCGGACCAAGGCAGAGAGGGGAAGGCTGGAGCTGTGGAGGTTGACCCTTATGCAGTAGCAGTGTGGTGATGATTGACAGCCCATGGGCTGTGACCCAGGGGAAGTGAGCATGCTGTCTACTCAGGGTGTCCTGACACTCCATCTGGAAGTGGACTCTGGACCCAGGACAGTATCCAGCTTGGGAAATGGGCAGGGCACTCGAAACTCACCAGGCAGGTAGAAGACTGCAGCCACCCTCCATGAAGCAAAATCCCCGATCCATCTCTTCCACCCTCAAGATAAAGATCCAAGGCCCAGGCAGGCCTTGGCAGTGAGGAGAGAGCCAGCCTTGGCCACAGGGGCCTTGGCAGTACTAGATGCCCCCTTGGATGCCCCAGCTCTAGGCTTCTTGCTCCAGACTTTGCATTCCTCTAGAATGCCAGTGCCCTCTGTTACTGGTCACTTGGCCAAGTCAGAGCCTTGCCCTCCTTCTGCCAGGGCAGCTTTTTGTGGGCTTCTCAAGCCTTAGAATTCTCTGGCTGGCTGATGGCTCTTCTGCTTAGCCAGGCTCCAAAGCTGGGCTCACCCCCAACTTGAGTCAGCACCCAGCTGGCTGCTCAAGCCCTGGCTCTGGTCTCTAAGAGGTCTCTGGGCAAATCTGCAGCTCAGCACTAAACACATTTGCATTTGGTCTCTTCGGTTCATTGATCAGGAATCATATGATCTTTTAAAAACACAGCTGGTAGAGTTACCCATCTGTGCTTCTGCATTCGGATCATAAATAGGGCTGCTTAGAATTTATTTAAACCTGCAGGTCTGGGTGTAGAGTAAGGTGGCTCTCACAGCATCTCCTGTGACAATCTCCTCATTTTCTGGATCATCCTAATTCTTGGGACCACTCTTGGCTGGGTTTCTAGGACTTGGTCTGTTTTTAATGCTCATTTGTCTTCTGAGTTCTTCTAAGGACTATTTCCTCTGGACACTGAGATTCTCTAGTTGCAGGGTAGAGCACTTATATGCACTCCTCCCCTATCCCTGCACCACACACACACACACACACACACACACACACGATTCCCAGACAAAATGGGTCAGAAGTCCTTAGCCACGCCAGTAACCTAAGATAGTGATGTTCTATATGCTCCCCTTCCCACTCCAGCCTTTGAACTATATATATACAGGAACATTGCTGAGAGACGGCCATGTGTCCCCTGATATGTGGTCTAGCTGAGCACATGGCATCCAAAATAAATACTACATTTCCAAGCCTCTTTTCAGGCTATATGACTAAGTTTTGGTCAATGAGATATAAGTAGGATGGTATATCCAACTTCTAAAGTATCTGTAAAGGGAAAGGCATACCCTACTTTCTTCATGCTAGCCACAAATCACCTTTTGTGATATGATAGCTGTAGTTAGAGCAGCTGCATTAGAACATGAGGATGAAACCACTCTGTGAAGATGGCAGATATGGTAGCCTATCTTCTGAGATGGCCTCCAGTGGTTCTCAACTTCTGGTATGTCCTTGTTTCATTCTTTCCCATATTCAACAGGACTGACATGTACCTAATAGGGTATTGCAGAAATGATAGTGTGACTTCTGAGATTCCTTCATAAAAGACATTGCAGCTTCTGCCTTATTCTCTTTTGGATCACTTGCTCTAGGCTAATGGAAGCCAGCTGCCATGTTGTAAGCACACTCAAGCAACCCTATGGAGGATTATAGGTGGTGAGGAACTGAGGCTTCCTGCCAACAGCCAGAACCAATTTGCCAGCAATGCTGCGGTGCCAGTCAAGCCTTCAAGTGATCACAGCTCCCTTAGACTACAACCTTATGAGAAAGCTTAAGCTGGAACCACCCAAAAAAGTCACTCCTGAATTACTGACACAGAAACTGTGAGATAATAAATGCTTATTGTTGTTTTAAGCTACTGAGTTTTGAGGTAATTTGTTTACACAACAATAGAGGAGAGCAACAAAACAGAAGGAGTCTTGACCCTCTGAAACTGTGGAGGGCCTTAGCAACCCTTACATTTATCTCTGATGTTTTTTGAAGAGATATAAACTTCTCTTATTTTCACAGCTATTATCTTGAGTTTTCTGGCATTCCTATTCCTAGTTTTATTCTGGAATCACTCATTCAGAGACTCTTTTAAGAACTGCTAACTGAAAGTGCCTTGGGAGGCCACCCCCGTCATTTCTGCTGCTAGTGGCATGTTGAGACCGAAATCTTCCCAAGATGATGAATAGTTAATGTCTAAAAATGTCTGTAAAATAAATTTTATAATAAGAAGCACTGGCCAAGGATGAGGAGACCCTGGCTCCACCCCCTCCTGAATGCTCTCACTTATTTAACACTTTGGTGACCTTACCTGGCACAGAGAGACACTGTCTTTATATGGGATATCCATGAGGCTCAAAAATATGTGTAAATAAGCAATCTGGGGAGTGCCAAGCTGCTCTACTGACTGAAGAAAGCACTCTTGCTGTGGGTCTGGCTGTTTCTGGATGGAGCCAGCCTGCCTCAGAATTTACAGGTGTTCCTTTCATGGACCAGCTTTCAGGTGTGCATCTCCATGACCTACTGAACAAATTCTCACCAGTGATGAGACACCCTGCTCAGATCCACTCAACCTTGGTAGTTGACAGGGCAGAGTGATGTCAGCCCTGTTAGCCTAGTTTTTAACTAAAACACTTCTCATTGCCCTGGTTGCAAGACAATGGTCAGCCCTCTGACACTCCCTCTCCTGCTTTATCAGTGTCCTGCTTTATCAGAGATCACAATTCCCAAGTGGACTAAGCACCCAACATGATTCCTGACCCCCAGCATTATGGTTCCCAGACCTGCTCAAGACTCCTCACCTTCTCCCGTTGGCTCTTGCCACACTGTGGGATACCTTCTCTCTGAAATTTTAGCCTTCTCTACCAGAGGCCTTGATCTCCGGCTTTCTAGATTTTTCTAGTCTGCTCTCCACTCCTGCTCTGGCACTTTAACAAAGACCTTCTGTCTCAAGGGGCTTCAGTTGATTCTCCAGCCTGGTCTGGAGAATCATCTGAACAACCAATAAATTTCTTAAACCCTGTACTAGTTAAGGTAATGCTTAGATGCTATAACAAACAAATTCCAAAATGTATATTGGCTCAGACAATATCACTGATTTCTTGCTCAGTTCACATAGGTGTTTCCAATTGGTGGTGTCTGTCCTCCAAGTGATGATTCAGGGACCAAGATCCTTCCACCTTGTGGCTCTGCTGTCTCCAACATGTGATTTCCAAGGGGACCTCAAACTAAAAGGAGAAAAGAAGGGTGGAGAAGGCACATCTGCTTCTTAACTATTTGGGGCTGGAAAATACACTGATCAACAACTGATCACAGATGTTGTCCCTGATCAACATCCCACTGGCAAGAATGTGTCACTTGACTCCTCTCAGATGTAGCAGATGTGACGGGAGCAGTGTATGCTGGGAAATGTAGCCCCTGCTGGGAAGCCCCTTTCTAGCTTCAGCTCTGTTCTATGGAAGGACAAGGGATATACTGTGTTTTTTTGTTTTTTTTTTTTGTCAACAGTTAGCTCTCTTGGCTACATACTCAGAAGGAAGTAAACCTTCTTCCACAACTGCCTTGCAAGACTGCAGCCCAGGCACTACAGGCCGACCTACCTTCCTGGTTTCCATGTCCTGGAGAAAACCCCAAGGAGGATAGGTCAACATCAATGCAGATTTATGACCTCTATGAGCCACCAGGGCCCCTGTAGTGCTAGGCCTGGGTCAGATTCTCTGCTATTTCCCCTAACAGGTGTTCCAAACATCCTCTCCTTGCCCTCAGCCACTCCCCGACCTGCATTCTCAACAACTGTGAATTTTAGGGCTGAAGGCATGATGCCTCTCCACTCCTTCCCCTGCCCTATCCTGCCCAGCCACACTCATATAAATTTGTCCGTGTCCACATTCCCTCCAGCTTCACAGCCCAACCCGCTCCTTAGGTTTCAGACCTGTGTGTGTCCATCTGCCTTTGGATGCCCCTGCCCACATGCAGATAGGTCCTTCATACTCACCACATCTCAAACTGAACTCACCATTGTCCAGCTTCTCCCCCTCCCCCAAATCTGCTTCTCCTCCTGTGGTTTCTTTGTTCTGAGATGGCGACACCCTAACCACGTAGCTGTTCTTGCTGAAAACATGACAGTCATCATTGTCTCGTTTCTCAGGTTAAATCCTGGCCAAAACATTTCTTGAATCAGTTCCCTCCACTTGTTTCCTCAGTTCAGGTCATCACTTCTGTTCAGATGCCTGGAGCCACTGTCAAACAGGTATTTATGCCTCTAGTCGGTTCCCCTCCAACCACTCTCCACGGCAGCCAGAGTGACAGTTCTACAGTACAAATCTGCCCACAGCACTCCTCCCAAAGCACTCTGCACAGAGGGGCTGACTCCTCCTGTCCTGGGAGCACTGTGGGCTCACTTCCTACCACATGACTGGCCTTGGCAACAGGCTCACACTCATGTCTCCCACTGGACCTTCATGGGACCCTGGGAGAAGGCCAGAAAGAAGCATGGCCTCCCACTTTTAAGATAAGAAAACCTGTTCATAGGAGATGAGGTGATTGCCCAAGGGTATTTGTTCTTTTCTACTGTGGTCAGGTATTTGTTCTTTTCTACCATGTCATAGACCCACTCTGCTGACATAATGCCCTGTGGTGCCAACACAGACCCTGGACTCTATGAGAAACTGCCTCAGACACCACCTCAGCTCCTTCGGTCATCATATATCTTGCATGTCAGCTATTCCCTTGGGTAAGGAATTACTGGAACAGACACCCACCCAAGCTGACTCCAATATAAAGAGGACTCTCACAGAATCCAAATGCACAGTCATCTCAGGAACTGGAAGCTCATTAGACAACCATTCCATCTTTAGTGCTGGACTACAGGCCCTTTCTCCCTGCATTTCTATTTGTTAATTGTTTATTTATTGAGAGACTATTTCTCACCCCAGATAGTCATAGTTTCATAGTTCAGGAACACAGGAAAGTGACAAACTTCCAAGGAACTCAACCCAGAGAAATTCTTTATATTCCAAATCACTTTGTACTCTGAAAGATACCAGCCTTCCTGATCTCCTCAAAATCTTTCATGGAATCATAATTTCTGAAGAAATCTGCATATGCCTTCTTTCTTCGTTCAGCCACAGCAAACTTATAGAAAGTTGCAAACCCCAGGGAGACCATGAATGCTCCAACAATATGAAATCACAGACAGTTGGCCAGGAGGCCACGCATCTAAGGTTTTGCCAAAGCAGTGGACATGGTAGTTTTTCTTCTCAACGGCTCAACCGCAACATCCTCCCAGGCTGATGGAGAAATGGACCTCCCTGCATTTCTAATCTCTTCCCTTTTTCACAAAACCCTTAGCCATCTTTTACAAGACCCAACATGATCACCGGTTCTGATTCAGCCTGACTCACAACTCCAGGGCCCACCACCAAAGAAGCAGTGTCAGGGCTGTGGGAGCACTTGGCTGGCCCAGCCTGGGTGCTTGTTGGTCCTCTCATGCTAGGCTTTCTGCCCTGGCCCATAATCTGGAACACATACAACACGTCAGCTGGTACAAACAGGGTAACAGGGGTTGGCAGGGGAATTCCAAGGAGGGACGTAGGGAGGGAGCCAATTACAAGTGTAGCGAAAACTGTGAAAGATGTTGAATTTAGTGGGTATCCTGAATAACTTACCCACCTAGGTTCTTTCTGCTTTTGTTTGTCTTTGACTAGACATTTCTCAGCTCTAAAGATGGAAGTGAAGTTGTAAAACTTGATAGTAATGCAAATAATTCCTGCTCACAGTAATACAAATTGTGTCTAGTGGAAGACAACTGACTATTGCCTTGTGCATATTGGCCAATTTTGCATCTATTTCTGAAATGATTTCAGCATTCCTTATCTGACTATCATGTGTGATACTGTGAGTTCTCCTTTGAATTGACTGTAATGTTTTAGTGGTTCTGTCATTAATTAATGAGTTAAACTAAATCTTTGACATGTTAATTTTGTATCATGGGACAGGCATGATTATATCCTCTTTTAAAATTTATCATTAAATACAGACAAAGTTTGTATGATCACATACTCACTTTAGAAATATTAATGATTAGAGAAAAAAATTTAGGATACACAAGAAGCTGTTAGAGTTCACCTGTGGGGAAAATGGAGGGTAGGGGCATTTAACTTTTCATTTTATATTTTTTGTACTATTTTAATTTTTAAATTGTGTTATAAGAATTTCAGTGGATGCCGCCTTAGCCAGGCAAGGGTTTAAGGGTCATCTGTTTTCTTTTTTTAAACTTTTCCCTATAAAGAAATAATAACATTAACTTTATAGTTATTTGTTAAGCTGTACATATGGTTGTTTGAACTTTGCTGATTGTACGTTATATTTTAAAATTTAAAAATTGGATCCTTGTTGGGACTTACTGGTGGTCCAGTGGCTAAGGCTCTGTGCTTCCAATGCAGGGGCCCAAGGTTCAATCCCTGGTGGGGGACCTAGATCCCACAAGCCACAAATATGAAAAAAATAAGAGTCTGCATGCCACATCTAGGCACAACCAAGAAAAAAAATCTGAATCTTTAAAATTTAAAGGGAAAAGCAAATCAAATAAGAAAAACTACATCTTGGCATATTGCTCCAAGCCAGCCCTGGGCAGCCAGTGGTGGTTATGATGTACTGCCTGTCTACAGGGAAGAGGATAAGGTTCAGGCTACACCCACAGGTCAAAGGGCTCCAGGCACCCTCCCTCCACACACACACTGTGTCAGGGATGTCCAGGAGAGGGACCTTCCTCACTGTTCAATACTTGTCGCGTCCCCTCCCTCTCGCTCTCTTGGCAGCCCAACGCAGGGAACACTGATGGAAGATCATGCCAGAATGGGAACATTCCTTCTTCTCCCTCCCCTTCCTCCCCTGACAACTGAGAGGCATCCCGCCCTCCCTGGCTGGCCACTGGAAGGAAAGAATCACTGCCAAACCACTGCTTGCACAACAATGCGCTTCTGAGCAGGGTACATACAATTTTTGTCAGTTGAATCCTGTGTTCCTCCTGACTTACATGATGGTCCAGATATACTCTGACTTCCATGCTCAAGGGAGGCTGATCCATTAGTAATGGCTTCACATTCTTTTGTCTTCATTAACCAACCTATAAACTGGCATTTAAGTTCATGAAGATAGAAGCTTCCTTCCAGGAATTTCTCCAGGCTTGGATGTTTGTCTCTGCTGTTCTCTTAGTGTGTGTGTGTGGTGAAGGAGGCAATACCCACAGGCAGTGGGACCATCTCTAAGCCCCTGACCTTTGGCATGAGTGTGTGCCATCCCTTGCATTTGGCACATCTGCACACAGGTGCTTTGCTACTGAACTCTAGTCTAGGAAAACTGAGGAAGAAGGCAGGCAGGAGCCCAGTACTGCTCTCACTCGCTGTACACTCGCAGCTGGCCTGACCAGAGCTGACCCTTCCCACACTACCTACTAAGAACAGTGTCATGGTCACCCCTGAATCCTGGGGCTGCTGCTCCAGGCACTCCAGAACACCCTCCACTGCCACAGGGAGGGTGAGCTTCACTCCTAACATAACTACTTGGGATGTTTGAGCCCAGATACCCAATGTCATATGACTACATCACTTTCTCCCTTCAGCCCTCAGTGGCTCCCCAGTGCCTGCAGGATCAAGTCCAAGCTCCATGGCCTGGCCTTCAAGTTCCTAGATTTGCAATCTGGACCCAGGTATACTTCTGGCACCATCTCCTGACATCACGTACCCCACTGTCTAACCACTCATTCAGCTCAGGCACACTGGAGTCCAATTTGTGCATAAGTCTAAAGGCTGTTTTCCAAACCTCGTAGCTGCCCCAAATGCCTCACTTCAAAGACAGCCTCTCTCTTATTAACTGATGTCATCAGAATTACACTATACAGATGCAGATGCAGGCGTGCCAATGCCTGTTCTAATGCAGGGCCTTACCCTGGTGCTCACACCACCCTTGAGGCTGCACCTGGTTGAACATCACACAGACCACTCTCTAGAATGGCTCTCTCCGCAGAAGCAGCTGCAGATTCCTCCCACCTCCCCAGAGCTCAGTGCTGTGGAGCAGAGGCAATTGTATTAGGACACATCACAGCATCTTCCTGCCAAAGTGACAACTACAATTATGTTTTGGCCGACAGCTAGAGATGAGAGAATGTACAGCCAAGGCCTCATGGGCCTTCATGACTCAGCAGA